TCCTATGGATTTGAGTCAATTCTACGGGTTCTAAATGTGTCCTCTTGTAAAAAGCATTTATGACAAACAGAGAAATAAGACGAGGTTCCGATGCATACTCAAGACCTTCAAACTTACAGTGTTTCTGTGAATGTTCCTTCTAGATCCACTACTACAGGCACCTGTGGAAACGCTCCAGAACATACAAGGCCTTTGGCAACAAAATCTTAACATTCCTCAACGGTCCCAGTTGGACTCCTGGAAAACCTCGACTAGGAGATCACACTGCCAATCCCAAGGTCTGTAACTCTATGAAATAAAATTCACAAAAGAATTTTCCCTCACCTTGCCTGCCTGACTTGTCCAAGGCTAGCCTTTTCTTTTATGTCTTAACAAATTATTTTTATTGCTAAGTTATTCAGATTTTATTGTGAGCTACAGGGTGGATAAAGTATATATATAAAACATTTGCATATAAAAAGCCAAAATGTTACTAAGCCTCACATTTCTCACAGCTAAGAGTAGGCTTAATAGCACTGTTGAGTCAAAACAGTTTAATATGAAAAATAATTTAAGCTTCATTTGTGTACGACTGAAAACCACTGTTTTCTACCTGAACTTTTGAGGATATAAAACAGTGTTCATGTTGAGTCTTTGTTTTAGTGTTTTGACTAAAAGTCTTATACCCTGAACCTTTGATGATATAAAACAGTGTTCATTTTGAGTCTTTGTCCTAGTGTTTTGACTAAAAGTCTTATACCCAAACAGGACGATAGAACTGTTTAGCAGACAAAAATTTTAAAGCTTACGCAACTAAATTTAATTTAAATTTTATTGTTTGATTTAATAATTATTGTTATTATTATTGTTGCGTCTTATTATTCTTCAACAAAATATGCAGCATATAGCAAACTGTTCGTTAGCATATATGTAGACATAATGCTGGTCTTTAAAAAACAGCTTCTATTAGTTGTCTTTATATAACTTCCTGTTTAGTTTTTTGTTTCGATTTGTCTAAAAGACGAATGTCGTCAACAATGCTTAGAACGTTAGAGACTCAATTCAGAGTTAGCTAAACTTAATCTGAGACTTGTAATCACGGGAACTTGACTGGGACTCAGGTCAAATGTTATAGGTGTAAAATAATGGAACCGCGTGACTTTTTCATGGAAATGTACAAAATATTGGGCCTGCTCGTGATGGTAAAACTCGAGAAAAAAATAATATTGATTTAAGTTTAATGAATACTTAGCTCAAAGATAACTCTAAGCTTAGCCTGGGAAAAATCAGTGAATTACCCGGTGCAGAATTCTGAAGCCAGAGCTGGATCAAATTTATCATTTCAGTGAGAATAAAAGATCTTTGTTTCTGCTGCCTCCTACACACAGAGTTTCATAACTGGGGGAAAATGAACTGTCAACACAGTCGTCCAGGATTGACTGCGTGGATCTGTTTACTCCTGGGACACAGGAAGGAAACAGTCTCAGTCTTTGTCAGAACTCCTGGACTTATTTGGCCCATTTCTGTCTATTTTTGTACCAAAACATTTAACCGATTGGTACTCATCGATCCCTGCATTTGAAATTTTTTTCCCAGGGTTTTTTTTTTTAGAACCAAACTTTCTCATCTGGGCCCTCTTTCTCATGCTCTCTCTTAAATTTGCTTCAAATCCTAATTCTAAACTCCGAAGTTGTGTAATCTCCAAGAGCTGAATCCAAATTCTTCAACCTAATGACACAGAGCATCATTTTATTTCAGTATAGTTTCAATCTCTCTCTCTCTTTCACCCCGCTGAGTTTAAAGAGACCAGTTCCGTCGTTAAAGTCAAAGGACAGTTTTAGTGCGAAAAGCATGAGGGCAGGAACCAAGTGACACTATCGGCATCGTTTCAAAGCAAACCACCAGGACGTTCCGTCGGAGCCTGTGTTCCTTCTTCTGCATGTACACTTTTAACCTCAACGGCGTGCGGTTTTCATTCCGCAGACTGCGTGTAAGGACGGTGAAAATTAACATTTTGTTTTTCCCCCTCGACAAAGGATTTTACAGCTTTTTATTTGATGTGGCTGTTTCTCATAAAACTCTGGATATATGCAAATTGTTCCAAAGAGAAAGAGAGGGAATGTTGTGACGGCTTTATTTAGACCTGTGTCTTTGGAAAAGTTGGAGCAATGACGCCAGAGGCTGCTGCAGTTGTTGTGAAAATATGCAGGCCTTTAAGAACTATGAAAAAAAAAAAAACTCAGAGGAGGTTAGATCAGCGCAAGCCAAAATACAGTCACAATAAGTCGAGATCAGATTGAAATATCGACGAAATAGTTAGAAATAGATACAGTTTCCCCCTAAAAAATACAGCCTCACATTAGGCAGAAAATAAGACATCTTTAACCCGGTAATGACTCACAAAAGTATACGCAAGAAGTCAAATAAGACAACTTTAACCCGGTAACGACTCACAAAAGTATACGCAAGAAGTCACTCCAACTCAGCCCAAAAAATAAAGCCATATCTGTGGCAAAGTGGGTTAGCCAAAAACCTTTATGCAAAAGGAAAAATAAAAAGTTAGCCCCATTACAGCTGGAAGTAGGAAAACAAAAAAGGTCAATAGTTTGAAGCGGGTCAAAGGATAACCAGACATGAGCCATTATAAAATAAATCAAACATTAAGTGTTATTTCAGAAATAACTGTCGTAGTCATAGAGATCATATAATCGTTCACAAGATATAAGCAGCTAAAGGTTAGCCAGAAATAGCTATACATTTGTATAAAGTGTAACCAAGGAACGGTTGTAATCCTGTCAAAAATATGGCTAAAATTAGCATAATGGTGTCAAAATGACTTTAGAAAGTAGCTAAAATGCAAAATGTAAATTTAAAAGTAAAGTTTAAAATTTAAAAGGCTCGGAAAAAAGAAATTAGCCAAAGTAGACAAACCTAGCCTGTAAGTAGCGAAAAGATGAATAACATAAATGCAGGAAAAGCTAAATGCTAACATATAGGACATTTTCAAAAGTAATTAAAGCCAAAAAAAAAGAAAAAAGTTTATTTGGTCCAAACAGAGTCCATGAGTGATTTGAATTTGAATTAAACTGGAATTGATTTTCCTGGTGCAGGTCACAGGGAAGGAGGTTGCTTATAATCCCAGCTGGTCTCTGTTTCTCCAAGTCTACGTGGTTCTTCACTTCCTGCTGGTGCTGGGGACATACGTCCACCTGTTTGAAACCAAGATGGTAGGTTCAGTGAATACTCATTATCGACTATTTCTATTTTCTTTTTTTTTTTTGTTAATTTCATCTGTACTCTTCATTACCTTCCTGGATATATAGAGGTGTTTGCGACTGGTACCTAAAGAGTTCTGTACATATTCTGTCTGATTGGCTGTGAGATTTAGGATGTCGTCCCTTGGATTAAGTGTGAAGGTGGTCCGGTCCAGGACCAGGAGCCCTGGACTGTGTCTGCCAGCATGATTTCGGTCAGTACAGTTCTGGATGTTGTCACTGAGTCCAGCCTGGATCAGAGTTTCTCAATGATCCAGCAGGGGAAAAAATACCAAGCTGCAGAAAGTTTTGGCCAACTTTCTGAGCGAATGACTGATCAGCTCTTCCTCTCAACAACAACCTGTGTCTGGGATTTTCCACTAAGGAAGAACCTTTACCCTTTCCTTCCTTTCTTCTTCCCCTTATTCCTCTCCTCCTTCCCTTCTTCCTTTATTCTTTTCATCCTTTCCTCATTCCTTCCTTCCTTTCCTCCTTCCTTCCTTTATTCTTTTCTTCCTCTCCTCATTCCTTCCTTCCTTTCCTCCTTCCTTCCTTTATTCTTTTCTTCCTTCCCTCATTCCTTCTTTCCTTTCTTTATTCTTTTCTTCCTTCCCTCAGCCCTTTCTTCTTTCCCTTCTCTCTTCCCTTTTCCCCGCCTTCCTTCCTTATTTCCTTCATGCATTCATGCATTCATGAATTCTTTCCTTCCTTCCTTATTTCCTTCCTTCCTTCCTTCCTTCCTTCCTTCCTTCCTTTATTCTTTTCTTCCTTCCCTCAGCCCTTTCTTCTTTCCCTTCTCTCTTCCCTTTTCCCCGCCTTCCTTCCTTATTTCCTTCCTTCCTTCCTTTCTTCATTCCTTTCTCCCTTTCATTCTTCCTTCTTTTCTTTCTTTCTTTCTTTCTTTCCTTTTCCTCACTCCCTTTTCACCTCCTTGAACAAAGAACAAAGGAAAGAAAGAAGTTCTTTGTTTGTTTGTTCAGTGTTTCCTTCCTTCCTTCTTTCCCATCGTCTTTCCTAACTTCCTCCTTCCTCTTTCTTTTTTTCTTTCTTTCTTTCTTTCTGTCTTTCTTTCTTTCTTTCTTTTGATGTCATCTCTAGTTTCATTATTATTATATATTTTTTTTATCTTCTATTTCCACTTTCTTTGAGTGCAGGAGCCTGTAATGTACCATTTTTGTGATTTTACCATTTCCCTTCCTGGTGCTGATGATGTCATCTCAGATGGTTTTTTTTTTGTTTTGTTCTTGTTTAAAATGGCCTTGACTTGAGGCTCAGACGAACCTGGACACATAAATTATTGTCCGGCAGCATTTCATGAGCTGTGGCTGCTCTGAACCTGGGAGTTTGAATATGAAGGAGCTGAAAGATGATTTATCCCCGGGTCTCTGCCACAATTTGTTATTTTCCCTCCCACTCTCTGATTACTGCGTCCTCAGGACTGTTTGCTCAGGGAAGTGGCGAAAAACCGACAATTAGGACGTTTGTGTTCACTGTCGGACCACCAGCTGGAAGCAGGGAGGGAAGCAGAGAGGGAGGGGCGCGAGAGGAGACCTCCACTCCACCCTTCGAGGAAAAAAAGGAAAAGAAAAGCAACAAAAAAAAAAAAGGCGTGAGGAGGGAGAGAGAAGGGGGGTGGTAAAGATGAAGGAACAAATGAGAAGGAGAGGAAAGAACAAACAGATGTCAAAGTGAACAACCATCAAGGGTAAAAGGAGAATAAAGAGGAGACGTTAATGGGGACAAATGAAAGGAAAGAAAGTGAAGCAAGGGAGAAAGGAAGCGAAGGGACAAAGACGAAATGTCCACTAGTGAAACAGCAGCGACACGAACCGTCGAAAAGCTCCGTTAAAATAAAGAGGAGCAGTGTCCCAGTGTTGAACTGGACCGCGTCCGCATTTTTTCCTGACAGTTTTTCGATTATTACAACTATTTACGTCCAGGTTATCGTGACTTGCATCACAGACTTTTTCCGTTTCTTCACAATTAAACCAAATGTCCTTGTTCTTCTTGTTTCAAAAGTTAGCTAAGCAGTGGGCCAAATGAGAGTCCGCCCTGCGTTTTTTTTTTTTTTTTTTTTTTTTTTTACACGCCGTCATTATTTCTCATAACCTCCAGTCCTGAAATAATCCCGCTGTCATTCCACCTACTGCTGAAAATAACTTTATCTGCGGACCTTGGAGCCCCGAAGGACTCACAGCTCAGCTCTAATCAGACCTGACAGGCTGCACCGACTGTCATGGTTTTTGCGCTCTGATCCTTTGGATCCCGTCCCGAGAAAAGTGGAGATATTCAGGGAGAACATGATCATATCATGTGTCTGTGTTCCCATGTGGGGGCTCAAATGATTCAAGCTCCCCAGGGTGGTGGAGGATTATGACTCTTGGAGAACAAACATTTGTTAAAAAACTGCCTTTCACGTCCCCGGCTGATGGTTTGATGTGATGTTTACTGTATCTGGCCCACTGGGTCTGAACCCAGTCTGGGACCAGTCAGTAGAATTTGGGCGTTACTTTCTGTTTTTAACATTGGAAAAATGTAAACCGAAGCTGACAGAGCAGGACGGCCTCGGGAGACGCTGAGATTCCAGCTGCTGCTGCTGCTGCTGCCGCTGCTGCTGCCGCCGCGGCCCTCAGAGCCAAGACTGTAGGTTGGAGAAGAGAGAAATGAGCCAGTACATCACGTTCTCTCCTCCACTGTGTTTCACATGGCTTAGATAATCACAGTCACAATCAGATCAGAACTTTTTGTCTTTTTGCTCCAGGACTGAGAATTGATGAATTGATTTGGCTGAAAAAGAATTCTTAAAATGTTCCCTCTTAGGTCGTTAGAAAATGGGATTTTTTTTTTTTTTTTGGGTCTTTCTTTTGTCTCCTTTTCATTTTTTTCTATATCCATGCTTATTATTTCAATAGAAGAGTTCCTTCCTTCTTTTGGTGTTTCTGTGTTCTTCTACTCTTTTTTATTTTCCTTAACTTTGCTCCCTCCTTCCTATTTACTTTTGTTCCCTAACTTATACCTTTGGTACTTTTCAACTTTTTTGCCTCCGTTTCAGGCCTGGTTTTCTCTCTTTACCTCCCCGTTCCTCCACTTCTGGTACCTGTGCTTGCCTCTTTCCTCTTTTTTTTTTTTTTTTTTTTTTCCTCCTTGCTGCATTTTCTACCGTTCCTTTCAACCCTTCTCCCGTCTCCTTTCCTCCTCTTTGTGTGTGTGTCTGTAACACTCTACCCCTGAAGGTCAGACCTGTTTTGTTTGGCAGTGTTGGATAAACACTCAAACTCAGCCTTCTGGGTTCTTTTAGATTGGATTCTTAATATTTTTTCCGTTATTTTTTACGACAGCTCTCCCTGTCAGCTCCCCTCTGACTGCAACTAAACCAACCGCGATGTTGATTCAAGCAGTAAACTCTCATGTAGCTGTATTTTTTCAAAACATACTTTCTGCCTGCAAACGCACACTTTCTCATGTTTAACCGAAAATGTCTGTGTCTGTAGATGGTCTCTCAGCTGACGGTACTGGGAATGATCGGCTACATTCTTCTCACCCTCACGTCTCTGGGATTCATCATCGACCAGAGGTACGCTACGGCGGTAATTGTTTATCTAGTCTGATTGGATTTTAATGTTGTCTTTTGAAGATTTCCCAGCAACCGAGGCTTCCAAGACAAATGTCAAGGTTTTCGTTTCACATAATCATTTATAAGTGGACAAAAAAAAGCATTTTCTAACAAAAATATTTTTCTGTTTTTTATCAGAGGTCATTTAACACGTTCTTTTTTTTTTTGCCCCACACTTTGATTAAAATTTACCCCGTATGACATATTTTTGTAGTTAAAGTTGCGTTCTTCAGTTTTCATTAAACTCCACTATCTGTTGACCTTATGTAACGAGAATTAAGATGAAACTGGCTGTTCTGTTCTAGTCGTTGCTGCCAGCGGAATCGGAGGAAACAACAGAATTAGCCGCTAGTCTTCTTACCGGGGGGTAACGGTTTACGTGGTTACGTCGCCATTGCTCATGAATTTATTAAGAATGTCTACCATTACGTTAAGTTACTCTACCGTTTCTTCTGGACTATAAGTCGCACGAGCCAAAAAATTCATAATGAAGAAGAAAAAAAAAACATATGTCGCTGCAAAGTGTAAGTGGTACCGGCGAGCTAGAGTGCCCTCTAGCGGCTGTCAGTGTGAAAAAAAAAAACAAACATGTACATTTTCAGTGCTACAGGAGTGGCAGATACTGGTACACAAGCCTAGAGTGCCACCTAGCGGCGGTCAGTGTGAAAATAACAAACATGTGAAATTATATATTTTAATATATAAGGCGCACCGGAATATAGGTCACAAACCCAGCCAAAGGATGAAGAAAAATGCGACATACAGTCTGTTGCAAAGTTGTTGTTTTTTTTTTGTTTTTTTTTGTCCTTTATTTATGGATCCCAGGTATAACTCAGACTCTTCTGATGTTTTTATAGTCTAGATTGTAGGTCAACTACTTCCTGTATATGGATTCAATGTCTGTAATGTGTTTCAGTCATTTAATAACAATTTAAACAGTGTTCACTCGCACAGAATCCCATAGAGAAAACCTGAGTGGTTAAAAGTTTTGTGCTGCTTCATTTGATAACGTTGTGTCATTGAGGTGAATCTGCATCGTCATTAAATATAACTCAGAGATGGCGTCAGCAGTATAAAGGCCACTGCTGAGTGCTCTGATGTGAAACGTATGATTTTCTCTATTGATAGTGGGAATGGAGTGTAAGTCATTTACAAAGCAGCAAACATCAACAACATTAAAGACTGATCAAGGAGATAACCCAAAGAAACTTTGCGAAAGTATTTGTCATTGACTCCTGGTTTCTCGATCTTAGGCCTTCAGCTGCTATGTTGGAGATGCTGCGCTGCGTCGTTATGATGACGCTGCAGAACTTCGGCCACGTGAAGAGCCCACTACCCTCGCTCACCGTGCCCATGGAGGTAAGACAGTTGGGTTAAATCTTTTGGTAATGTTTAAGTTACCAAATAAAAAACTTCTATAATTGTCACAACTTGTATGGCAGGGCAGCGCTAAAGGTTAGCCCAACAGAACAAAATTCCATTTGATTTAATGCCTTATTTGCTTCACCTAACTGAAAAATTGGGGAGTTCTTCTGACATCGGAACAGTACAGATGTGGAGTCAGGGAAAAAAAAAAAACCAAACGTTCACGTGCAAATGTCATCAGCGGGCGTCAGTTCACAGCAGACGGCACTAATCGTTACCAGAAGTGAGAGAAAGGTAACTGTAATGAGAGGTCAGCTACAGCTACAATCACGGCGAGAGAGGGAGAGAGAGAGGGAGAGAGAGAGAGAGGGAGGGCGGCTCAACAATTTTATGGTCAATTGGTCAACACATCTGGACTCATAGATCATAGAGCGGAGCACACACACACACACAGATACAGGAAACATGACATATTTTACACATAAAATGCCACAAAATATATTATATAATGCAATCCAGAAAATCAAAAATTGCCAGTAAAATGGTTATAATGTCCTGTTATGGTTCTAGAAAAAAAAAAATTAAAAAAAAAAATCTATTTACATGTACAAACTACAAATCTGAAATGGAAAAACAATATATTGGAGATAAAATTGCATAAAGATATTTTTTTTTGATTTTTTTATTATTATTTATCTGAGCGTTTTCAATGCATTCTTTTAAAAAAATCTCGGAGCAATAAGTTAAAACTACTACGAATAGAGATTTAACAGATGTCATACATTTTTTTTGAATGTAGAAAAATCAAATTTTGAGGGAAAAAAAAAATCATTTGAAATTGTGCTCGATTTAGGGCCGGTATAATCTATATTTTGGTTCCTATATTTTTTACCAGTGGGTCAAGTCTGGTCCTCTCGGTATAAAGGAATACATGTCTTTATTAAACCCACACGTGCTGCAGCTGTGTGTCTTTCTGAGAAGAATCTCACACACACACACACAGCCATTATTTCTTCCTTTTTATACTTCTTCTGTGGAGCCAATCATTATGTCTGATTCAGAGCAGCAGTCCATCAGCTCCGTGGAGTCCAACGGCCGTCTCCGCTGCAGGTGGAGCTCATTGAAAATCCCTCACATTTGACTCCAAATGCTTCCTGACACATTATTGCCTTTTGTTCAGAACTACAGCGAAGAAAGAGGGAGGCAAAAAAAACTAAAAAAAAAAAAAAAAAAGTCCTCCCCGACCCCCCGACCCTTGAATCTGACAGGTAGTTTGAATGATGTACGGCTGTGAAGCGTGAGGTGAACGTCCAGAGGTTTGGTTCAGACAGAGAACGTGTGGGTTTTGAAGTCGGGCCAATCAATTAGGCAACGCTTGATGTAGGAGAAGGGAGTGAGGGAGGGGAAATTA